AAATACGTATCGAAGATTTATGTTAGTTATATACATACTGAAACTTTTGGTCGATGTAAGTTTTCAGGTCATAAACTATTTCCTGTTTAAATTTCTGATTTAGAAAACGTCGAAGGTCTTCCTAGGACATATAAAATAAGCGAACAAAACAAAACAAGATCGTATTCCTTTTTTAGTTTTACACTATATAGTTCACAGATGTTCATGCTTTTATTTTTTTTTTGTATGCATGCACACTTCTGTCTTTATAGAGAGTACATAAATACATGCCATCTCTTTTAAATCTAAAACGTACAACATAAACTTACGCTGACGTTGAAGTACTCCACCAGTAATTTCTGTATCATTGTACATGGTGTTCACCCTTTTGTTTTTGGTGTTTTTCTCTTAAGTGATACATTTGCGAGAAACATGGAAATGAACAACACTTCAATATTTTTTTACGTGTAATACGATGGCGTGAATATATTGTTTAAATTTCCAGTGATTTTCACGTAGTGGCAATTTCATGAGATTTTTAAAATTGATTGCTATTATAAAAAAAAAAATACTAATATTATCTGCAAGCAGTTAGACTTCGAGAGAATATAAAAATCATTTTGACACCGTGAATTTCACGCTTTCACAAAAATTCAGGGTTATGTTTTCCGCATTTAGAGGGCGCACGCGCGTTTCGAATGGCGTATGGCGTAGGACGTAGGACGTAGGAGAAACACGGATAGCGAATATGGAAGAAAATCTAGAAGAATGGTTGGGACGTCGATGAACGCCACCCCTGTACACTGATCCATTTAGTGACGTGGGTGCTTCCAAGGTCATCGCAGGAGCAAAACTACCACGACGCCTCCATCCAACGCCCACGCACGGAGTGTGGGTGTAGGACGTATATATATATATATATATATATGTATATATACCAGGGAATTCACAATGGTGTCACAAAAGTTAAAGGTGATATCAACTTGTTTAAAATTTTGCACATGGGATATATAGAGCAGATATACAGCATACAGCATACATTTATAAACCATACATGTATATGTACAAAATACATAAATTGTGACATTTAATTATTATACAAGAAGTTAAAATTATTTACCCTTATTGTTCACATTTCTTCGGCTTTTCGGTGGCTGATCGTTGATACGATTGTATTTATTATGATAATTTTCATGGTCATTAATACCCTTTTATCGTAATTTAAATTATAACTTGGTATAGCTTCTACTCCGAAAAATCAAATAAGATTTTTCAAATTTATTAAGTTCAGTTCTGAAGGTTATTTTTGAATACTGAAAAGTAATAAACGTATTTAAACTTTTTAAATCATTTTTAATGTATCGCGTAGTTGAATGTACAATATAGTGAATAAACAAAATATTTGTATACAATCATTTTTATGAAATAGTATACTTCTATACAGCATAATAAATAGTATAATACCTAAAACTTTGATTATATAATAAACTTATGTAAAAAGTGTGTTTCTTACTGCTGTATATATTATTTCCTCCGTTCAAGAAATGTATTATTAGAAACTTGAATGTAGAAATACTTTTTATGTTAATTCTATGTATTCAGTGGCTGCTATAATTTTATTTACTGTGGACAATTTATAAATAGTACAAATATGTATATATGGTTACATACAAACATTTGGGTGAATTCAGTAATTTATCTACGGATAGTACTGTATTAAATTAAACACAAATTACTTTGTCACCCGATAATTTATGTATTGTTATTTTCACTTCTTTAAATGTGATACATATTTAATAGAATACGTATTATTAAATTTCTATTTTATCTTTAAATGAAAGCTTTAAGTTTAAAGTAGATGTCGTTAGTAAGAGAACTCTAAAATCACCGACGTAATATGTATATTGATTTGAATGTATACAACTTTTTTAACGTTTATTTTCTTTAAACCTTTAATTCTACATGTTTGTATAATATTCAAAGATCAAATATTTCATTTCCCTGTATATTTCAACTTTGTACAATTACGCATGCGTACGTATACCAAAAACACGGATCATTCAACGATTCTATCCCTTCCTTAATGTATCCGCCTACTTTGACGCCTACGCCTAAAGTAACTGCGTGACGCCTACGCATCACCTACACCATACGCTCTGCACAAACTTAGAAATTTCTTGCAAAGCTATTCATTAATGTAACAACCACGAACAACAATCAAACAATAAATCATCGGTATTTCTGTATAAAAGTAATAATTACAATACACTTTTGTAACAGAGAGAAAGAAAAAAGACATATTACCTTACCTAACAAGTAATATATGTATATGTACAAGGATTTGAATCTCATAATTACAAAATATCCAATGGAATTTAATTATCATTTGCAGTAATTCAAAAAAATATTTCCAACTGCCGTTGACATGTTTTACAATATATAAAATTTCTAATTATGCGATTAATTGTTACCGGCATATAATCAATATTTGCCATTGTAAATGGAATAAAGATATTTAAAATTTTACTGATTCCGTTTGGTTAGTACCACATGTCAACTACCTACAAATGAATAAGTTGTAAGGCCACTAGAACAATGCATACGACTCAAATATGTATACACGAGAAAGATGATAATGCGAGTATGTGTAAGGAAGAAAAGGTTATTATTGAAAGTATGATTGATGGACTTTAGTAGGAGAAACTTGTATAGAAGTATAGTAAAAAAATCGTTTTGCAAATTCTTAATACAATCATTGGTTATTATAAACAACCGGCTAATAGGTATTTAAAAATACTAAAGTAAGGAATAACAAAATGTTTTACGAGAGAAAGTTTTTTCGACACTATAACTTCTATCAAATATATTAACGTTTACTCAATTTTAATTGTTTAAGTTCGACCTAGTTATGACAATGTATATATGTATATTGTACAGCTTTGTTTGATCAAAGGAAAAAAAGAGAGAAAGGCGTGACGAAGCTCGAGAAAGCGCGAGCAGGATATTCTCGATCGTTAAAGCACTACAGCGCCCGGCCACGTGATTCTCATACTTACCTAAGCTGCTCATTCATAAACCTGTGCCGCATTATTCTTCATACATGTGTGAATTGTCACTTCTTCTGATAATGATTTCTTAATAGCACGTTATAATTATTATTCTAATATTAGTTTAACGGTTCTGTTAATCATAGAAAAACTTGAACAAAATCCCACGTGTTGTTTATTGAAACTTCCTTACTTATCTCTAATACGCCATTATTTTCAACGAATCGTCGATTAATTTGTCTAATACAAAAGGCCACTTACATTAGACAACATTTTTTCTGTAACATTAACATCTATATTCATCTGTTTCGAATATAAATACTGCAAAGAGATATACAAAGTATGTGTAAAATCGACTATTGTAGCGATAAATTCATAAAACATGTGTCACTTAGATTTAAATCAAGGTTGTGCTATAGAAAAAAATCTGAAGTAAACTACATATATTGTTCACTATTTCGTGATTTGTACAGTCGAAAAGGCACAAATATTAGGGTAAAAAATGAAAGTGAATACTCCCAAGTATAGACTGCATTAATTATTTTCAGATTAATTATTAAAACATTTTTTATTTCTCAGTAATATTAATCGCTATAAATGTATCCTAATCGTTTACTGTGGACTGGGTCACACTTGTTCCTCCGAAGATTAAAACCTGATTTCTTCGATGAACCCTCCCTTGTCTGAAGGTCATCGTTGCTGGGATATAAATAAAAGTGGAGTGGCTGTATGACTGTGACAGTGTAGCTGGATTCGCATTGAGCGGTGGCTCCATTCATGATTTCGCGGCGCACGCGCTCTTGCGTTTCTTATATGGAAATTGTTCTCGCCGACTATGTAGGTATACTTGCTACGTGGGTACATGCATACGTACGCTGTCGAAGGTGCTGTAATCAAACTCTTCACATCCTGGGATGACACACAGGAGCACTAAGATTCATCTCGCCGAACGAACTACAGGAAAATAATTGCGTCTACACCACACATGTACGTATCCGCTGAAGCAGTATTATTCAAGGTGACAGTGATACAAGTTGTAACAGTGATTGTGATCGTGACAGATGTTTAGTAACTAACATTTTTTGTCTATATCGTCATACACATTTTCATGTACATATGTAGAATTATTGCATGATTTTCATACATAGTAATTTCAATTGGAACTTGGTTAAAAATATTCTGACACTATAAGTTGCAAATTGTATTTTTTAATTGTTTAAGTGTTGTATACAGAAAACACTATCGAGCTCGTATACTTAACCGGAATTGTTTCACACGTATGTTCTGACAGTTGCATTTTGTATACATTAATCACATTACGTTAAATTTTTTACCGTTTTTTTTTTTTAAAGTTACGTCGGTTTCAAGAAAACTCTAGTTTTTCCACTTAAGAAAAACTAGAGTTTTCTTGAAACCGACGTAACTTTAAAAAAAAAAAACGGTAAAAAATTTAACGTTTGTGTTGTCGATTTGAAGAAAGCTGAAAGTTACTGAAGGAAGTAAATATCATTGAATGGACCAAATTTTCAATCGACAATCGTTTATTGACTATTGTAATGCAGGCCATAATAATAACAACTATATAAGTATTGTAACATTGGTTCGACCACAGTTTTAAACCATTTATTTTATAATTGTTTTAGTAAAAATCTTAAAAATTATAAACACTGAATGCCGGAGAAAGCGGTCGTAATTTGAGAGAAAGAGGGTTGAAGGGGTGGTTCGGGGAAATTGTTAGGAGTTCGAAAGGAGAAAGAGTAGTGCGGGGGTGTGAATCACCGAGTCGAATGAGGGGTAAGAATGCATTCTTTCGATTGGTCGGCAGAAGCCCGTTGGCTTGGGGAAAGGACGAGTAGTGGGGAGGGGTGTAGGGTTCATGTTTCAAGATTTAGTCGAGTAGTCGGATTCAAGAATTCAGTGCGGATCGGGAACGGGGACTTGACGCATCGATGATATTTCGTTCGGCGAGCACGTGTTGTTATAGTAATGAGAATTTCGTGCTCCAATGATTGGCGAGTTTGCATATGGATCCTTGTGATTATTTACATATAACGGGTGAAAATTTGAAAGCTAATTAATCTGTTGGTTTTGCATGATTTTGTCGGTGTTTCGAAATTTTTATCGAATAGTTTTAAGAGGTGTAACAGTTGGTGTTTTTGTTACGACTAAACCAATGACGCATTGAATGTTCAACATTATACGAAGTGACCCATCGTGGCGAAGGTATGCTTTTCATACTTTATTACATTTTTGCCTTCAATTTAACCGCTTTCTTATCCAAGCTGCGTAATACTGCAAAACTATAAAAATAAATGTTGGAAGTTTTACAGAAATGAGGATTACCGTTAGCGATAAGGGATATTTTCTCAATTTTAATGTATACTTGTCAACAAGTAGAAGGGAGAGCAATAATATAGATTTCAAAACTTTCTCGTTGTAGGTCAAATGTGTTCGTTTACGTTTTCGTGTTTGTGTCGTAAAATGTTCTTCTCGGACGACATTGAAATTCGAACGAGAGGGAAAGTAAGCAGTACCATATCTACGACGGCGCTGCTCAACAATAATGAAAACGAAATTAGGAAACTTTGTTCGTCTTCACAGTTATTCCCGCAACAAATGTTTTGCAAAGTATTAGATTTCGCTCGTACGAATTAAAAAATATAACAATTTTGAAGAACAAAAAAAAAATACATTACATAATATATACAAGTTTTATTCGAAGCATTTATAACACAAATCAGGAATAGATACATTTTTAAATTATCAAGCATTGTAAAGAGATATCTGAAAAGTATTATGTTTTATAAAATATAACGTTTTACGCCTTCAAATATACGTGTCTGAATTGCGTTTGCAAAAATAATATTCGTACGTAGAAGAAATTAAAGTGAAGTTTTCGTATTAAATTTTATATATCATGAAATCTGCACGGTGATTACAGTCTGAAATAGTTTAAGTTTAAAAAATATTTGTTTGTAGCACATTATGATACCTCGAAAAATTTGGCAGCACGATATTTTATCAAAGAAATCTTATTCACAGAATCTACATTGGCTTCTTATAATATTTTGTTATGACGTTTCCACAACTGTTCTTTCTGTTTTTAGTATTTCAATGTACCAATGACTATACGCTCTTTTACTAATATACATACGTTTCTGTAATTAATGGAAACAATATATACAGTTGAAACATTTATATTTTGCATTTATATCTCCGTATACTATCGAATTATCTAAAATATATAACTTTTCATAAATACAAAGTATGGGTATATGCGAAAACAAAACTTTACTAATGCTTATTAATGCTTTGAGCCAAAGATATATATTTAATCTTTATAAATGAAAAAATATCATATTAACTCCAATATTGAGTGTATGTTAAAAATACGAATAAATAATTCTTCTTAGCATTTAAATAATATATGATTGAAATTAATAGTACATACTACCATTGAAAAAACTGTATTCTTTAACGTAATCGTAACTTATTGTAAATAACTTCAAATGTATTTTAATATGTTGCAAAGCTTAAATTCATTTAAATTCTACTGTATTTAAAACATACTAATTGCATGTAAATGAAATGGTGTGTTCTAAAAAGCGTTATAAGCATACGTATATGTATGTAATGAGAATTATATTCGATACTTTGATAATAATATTTCAATGTTATACTGTTATAAGTATATAATTACTTAAATTGTGTTTGAGTTTACAAAATTCTGTAGGTGTGCGTTACCAAAACTCCTATATGTATAGAAGATGACAGATAACTCACTTTCTCTTTCTTTTTGACCCTCGAAAAAATAGCAGGTCTAACCTTGGTCGCCATGGCGATTTCAAGGATAGCACCCTCTACTGCTACAGACCAGCTGCTGGAAAAAGGAAAAGGGAAAAGTTTGCAGGCTAACATGTAGCGTTTTCAATCCCATTCAGCAAGACGTTACGTACCGAAAGGGATTTTGTGTTTCGAAAACGCGTCCTTCAAATTTTATGTTGAAACTCAGTGTAGTAACATCGCTAAATTTTTTTAAAAATATACCCTGATGTAAATGCAGGCAAGAGACTTTAAATGCGTTGTTGTAGAACGCATATTTCTCACGATATTTGAAGATTAAATTACTTTACGCATTACAAATTTTTAACCAACATAAAGTAAATGCCTTTATATGTATTTCCATTAATTTATTATTTAACAATCTTTGAGACTTTATGAGATTATAAAAAGAATATTTTTTCAACTACAGTTCCAATCCGCGTAATTTAGTTTGTCACGTCTTATTCTATTATAAATTAAATATTTACTTAGATTTTTCAATTTTAGGTAAAGTATAAATTGTAGTGTTAGATTATAATGGATTTTGTATGGAAACCATGCATAGGCATTTATTTATTAATTGTAAAGTAACACGAGAAATTTGTTTATTTTTTCATAAATCCTAAATGAATTATAAATTTGAAAAATTCCAGAAACAACACTTCATATAGGAATATCCTTTTCATAATATAGACAAGAAAAGTTACTGAGCTATACATGAATATCATAGGAGCAATTATGCTACATTAAAATATTTTATTTTTCATTAATTTCTATGTTAGTCTCATAATTTCAAAATAATAGATAGTATTAATTCTGGATTAACTGGTCTGGATATTACGTAAATAAATAAATACAGTGATATGGTTGATAAGGTCGTGCCCACTCTCTAAAAAATCCTTATAAACTGACCATACATATTGTATAATTTAGGTAAATATGGTAGCGAAATACGAGCTGGATTCTGAATAAGTTCAAGTCTCGTTTATTGTCGTATCTGGGGCTGTAGAGGGCCAAACTTCCAGGAATACTGCATTAAGCAAGCTCCAATCACTCGCGCGCTCTCCTCACCAATCGTCCGTTCACTTCCACGACTTAGTTGTATTGTATGTATAGGGTGGGCTGGACGTACGCACATTCTGATCACCTTAACTATCGCTGTTATTTTTAGAGATATCAAAGAAGTATATTCACAGAATTTATTTACTATTGCAACATTTTATCCAAACACTACTATATATACCGGATTTCTTCTGTTGAAAAATATTCAAGTTAAACGCGACACCATATATATGTATTGCGTTCTTTCTTTGCTGAGCGACAGAGTGGGTCGGGTGCGTGCACGTGTGTACAAATACGTTTGAGCGAGGGGCCTTCTCGTGCTGCAATAAAATAGCCTGCAAGAAAAGAGCTTTTACTGTAATCGAATAAATATTTGAATGAATTTCTTCGAGTAAATTTTTATTCGAATAAATCTTCGAATAAAGGCCCACTTATACACAACCATGTCCGTTCCGTTGTCCGTTTGTGGGCCGGACAGTCCCTCGTCACAATGTTTAGCCGCCAATATTGATACACAATCGTTCCGTGTTCGATCCGTGTTTTGGCCGGGCCCGAATTGGTACCCGGTTGCTTAAAAACATGGGCTTCTGTAAAAACATCCTATTTTGGGCAAAAATGACGAACATATTCCGTAAAAACGCTAGAAAGATCAATTTAATCTTGAAACATAGAGAAGAGTTTCTTGAATATAGGAGTGTATACAGGGTGGGCCGGAAATCGTAGTACAACCAGCAGGGAGTGATTCTACGTTAAAAAAGAAGAAAATACTTTGGTATGACATTTTCTTATCCGGGGTTCCGTTTTCGAGAAAATTGATTTTAAAGTTTGTGCAACTTGTAAACGATTTAGTACAATTGGCTTGTTGTGTATTCCACTACTGCGGTTGTCTCTGTCTGGGACAGTGTTTACAAACATTGATGATTGTGTGGATAAAACAATACAATGTGTTTCTACTGATTACTCATTTTTTATTCTTTTTTACTACTAATACACGACAAGCAAATTGTATTAAATCGTTTACAAGTTGAACAAATTTTAAAGTCGATTTTCTCGGAAACGGAACCCCGGGTGATAAAATGTTACACAAAAATATTTTCTTCTTTTTTAACGTAGAATCACCTCCTGCCCGGTTGTACTACGATTTTCGGCCCACCCTGTATAGTTATAAGATTTGTGTAATTTTGAATAGTTGTAAATTGCTGTGAAAGGCTCAAAAAGAGCCGATATGCGTAGTTTTTATGCATTATTTTTGCATTTTCACGAAAAGTTCTTTACCTAAGACGAATTTGGTACACAGTATCGGATTCGGTAGACATTTCTGAAGAAGAAACCACCCAGAAAAATTGTCGGAACGGTTTTTAATTTGAACAGGTTGGGAAAATATCCGTCAGCAACGTGTGCATGGTGCTTTACCGCCACGCGGCCATTGCTCGATTACCCCGACTCTTCAGTGCCGTAGCTCCGCGTAATAGACACCCCCTTGCCTATGTATAATGTTTGATTTTTTCCATGTATTCTTGGACACCAGTCCCGCAATTTTAATGAACTATTCCTGATCACTTTCAGTTTCAAATTATTTCAATGTTCGACGCATGTATACGCATTGGCGTAACTATGTAGGTAGGGGCCAGGGTGGGCCTATGGTCTGTTTTTCGAAAGATGATGCCTGGGAGGTTGGCCTGCCTCGGCGCGTGGCCTGGCGGAGATCCAACGCGAGCTGCGTATTTCGTGCGACGTTGCACGGTCTCAATGCCACTGTGTGTCTCTTTCCATCGTCCGGCACTTCGGCACGCGAGCCTCTTGCTCAGACGCTCGGTAAACCAACTTCCTTCTTTACCCTACGATTTCCGCGTGTAACGTTTAATAACCTACGTGTTAATTTAATCTCCTTCTAATATATTGCTCAATATTTGGGTACAATACATTCTTTTAAAAGAAATAAACTTTTTCTTATTCATGTATTTTAACTTTTGACGTGTGAAAACGTTCAGCGTCTCGTCAACATTCTCCGCCATTTCCAGACCATTGGATGATTGACGGCCACGTGCCGAACGCAGTCCCCACTCCTTGAAATTGTAGGTAGGTCCTTCTCGAGAGGTTTGTAATACGTGTGATAGAGACAGACGACCGTAGGCGAGGACGAACGTCGACGGTCGGACGTCGTTGGCCAAGACGCGAAGAGTGCAAGAGACAGACGACCGTAGGCGAGGACTCACGTCGACGGTCGCACGTCATTGGCCAAGATGCGAGGAGTGAGAGAGACACAAGTACCGTAGGTGTCTCGCGATCGCGGCAACACCGCGAAAACTCGGGCCTACCTCCCAGGCATCATCTTTCGAAAAAAAGACCATAGTTCTCCAGAATACGGACTGCTCCCCACCCCGTCCAAAAGTTATGGAAATATATAAAAAACACATTCGTCAGTTGGTAACATTTTATGTTATAAAAAATAAATACATGGACCGAAATGCAATACGCAATGCAACTAAGTACAAAAAATACAATACTATCCTCATTACGTTAAAGTACTAAGTAAAATTGTATTAGCATTAAGCTATATAATTTTTACATTCTACATAACTAATAATCTTGCAACATCAATTGAAAGGTAATCAATTAAGTTACGTACAGATGCCTGATGGGCAGTGTTATGGGCGAAAGTCAGGGGACCTGGCCCCCCCCCCAAAAAAAAATTCTAGTTACGCCAATGTGATACGTTTGACTTATTAATTTTAGACTGCGGATTTTATGCATTTATAGCTGATAGGGCTCTCTGAAATACAATAAAAAACAAAACTTTCATCGGTTCCAATGATTTTTTTGTTTTAGTCTGAACCCAATAAGATATTTAAGAGGAAAAATAAATTTCTACATTTGCTCCTGTCTTTATAAATTACTTTAAAAAATGTTATTTTGCATAAAAATCTGCAGTCTACTTATTATTAATAAAAAGCCGTTAAAAATCATACTCGATTATTATTGAGTTTACAGGATTATTATTATTACAATTTTACAAGATTTCGAACATTTTCTCAAATATGGAAATATGTGGAACACGTAAAATAATATTCGAAGGCAACGCGACGTCTATTTAAGCATTATTTGGTTATCTTTCTTTAATGAATTTATTGTTCAATACTTCTGAAAGACAGTTCGAGATAGAAAAGTAATATAATTTTCTAAGATTTAGAGAAGGCAGGGAAGTAAGAGTTTTATCGCAGGCTCTCTGGAAATCTAAACATCAATTGACGACCCTCTCTAACATATTGTTTAATGTGTTTCATATATGTTTTAATATTTGGGAAACTGTTCGAAATCTTGTTAAATCATAATAATAAACATGTTGTAAACTCAATAACAATTGAGTGTGATTTTTAACGGCTTTTTGTTAATAAGTCATACGTACACATGCATCGAACATTGAAATAATTTGAAATTGAAAGTGATCACGAAAAGTTTATTAGAATTGCGAGACTAGTATCATCAAACATTATACATATGGCAAGGGGGTGTCCATTGGACAGTACTACGGCACTGAAGAGTCGAGGAAAGCGAGCAAAGGCCGCGTGGCGGTAAAGCACCGTGCACACGTTGCTGACGGATATTTTCCCGACCGATTCGGATTAAAAACCGTTCCGAAATTTTTCTGGATTGTTTCTTCTTCACAAATATCTATAGAGTCCGATACTGTGTAATAAATTTATGCTAGGTAAAGAACTTTTCGTAAAAATGCAAAAATAGTGCATAGAAAGTACGCACATCGGCTCCTTTTTAAAATGTCAGGGCAATTTATAGGAATTAAAAATTATACAATTTTGTAACTATACACACTGTTATATTCAGGAAACTCTCCTCTATATTTTTTTCAGAGTAAATTGAGCTTTCTAGTGCTTTTAGTTTTGACGTAATACATCATTTTTTTTCTAAAATCGGGTGTTTTTAAATAAGCTCATGTTTTTCGAAAACTGATTGAGGTGGAGAAATTCTGCTTTCGGATTCCTAATCTGGACGAAAAACTCTATAAGGATGATCTCCCAATGGATATTGCAGATAAAAAATCGCTTAAATTAACTAATGAGTTATTTCAAGAATCTGAAAGTAAAGTGCATCCGGACACAATACGTCGAATATTGAAAGATCATAGACACAGTGGCAGGGTACTACCTCGTAGGAAACCGTACATAAACGAAGCGAATCGGAAAAGTCATTGATTCTTGCTACAGGATGAGTTTGTAAGGATCAAACATTGAGGCACCATACGAACGTAGCAGATGATGGACGAAGAATGGTGTGGCGTAAAGTGTAAAGCAAATAAGCATTTCAAATTAAAAAATTTGGAACCGACAATGAAACATAGCAGTGGCAATTTAATGGTGTAGGGTTACATTTCGACCGCAGGTGTAGGTTAACTAGTTTTCATTTATCCTTTATTTTCAGTCGTATGATTATACTTTATAGAAAAAAAATGTTACTAATTGGGAAGAAGTTTAAATTCTACTAATCTAAGATATAATAATTTTTCAAGAATTTTTACCATACTATTGGACAGTTATTATTGTAATATATTTGTCGTTCTTTCATATAAGCATTATAGAATGTCCGAGTATCCCAATGAGATCATTATTTCAGACATTATAGTCAAAAACTGACTGGAACATTCCAGCCATATACATATGTATATGTATGTGGGTATACTATGTATGAAGTTACGTCGAATTTCCCACTGTTATTGATTTCTGCAAAGTCTCACGAATGGAAGCAGGACCCCATTTCTCCATCCCTAAACCGAAAAGGGTATCACCATTCGTCCCTACTCAGGGCTTGTATGATGACCTTGAACCAGCTGTGTAGGGGTGTTCATCTTTGAAACTGGAACAAGGGGACATTCGTACAATCTAAATTACTTTTTCGTTGACTTCTTCTGAATAGTTCTCATATAATTCGTAATTAGGATACTGTAACAAACTATAAAAGATGTTTGTATAATACATATTAATTGTTATCTTATAAATTTCTCAGGCCAAGACTTTTTTTCTAAAAGGGATATACTTTACTGTTTTTTTATTTGAAAGTTCATCTTTCACAGTAATTAAAACACCGTTTGATAATTTTTTATTTTATTACGAAAAATAAGAAATATAGAAATAACGATAAATAACACAGTACTTATAATCGTTAATAGGCGCTTTTAATAGATCTTCACGAGCTGAATACTAATCTGCAAACTGTTCTTTCCCAGCACATGCAGTTTTTGAAAACATCAATTTTTCAGAAATGGCAAATTTTCAACTTTGGAGGTGTTTTGTGCTTTTATTCAGTTGCTTTTGACACGAAATAATTCTCTGGACTCCTTCGAACAAACTGATATAAATTATTATTATATTATAAAAGCTTTGTTTCAATTGGGTTTCACACATCAGTAGTGTTTTATGTTATGATAATATATATCATATATTAATGTGATACAATAATGTTTCTGTTTCCTTTTTTTCAGGTGAAGGTATTACGACGAGTGAAGATCCTAATACCAAATTTGTACACGGTTTTTAAATATACACCTAATTCACGATGAATCATGGGAAGAGTTGCAATCGTGGAACAAATTTTTTCCGAAAATACAATCACGAGACTCCAGAAAAGGAAGAAGATATAGATTTATTTTGCAAGGTATGAGTTACAATGTCATTTCAAATCTTTAGGAATTAGTTAAATTTAAGCTCTGAAAAATAAATTTTTTGGCAGTGTTCCGTTACTATTTAATCTTTAGTTTTCTTTTCTTTTTTAAATATGGCTTGAATTATCAAAGAACCCGTTCACATGTTGTCTGTATTGAAAATTGATCAAAATTGAAAATCGATCGAAATTGGGACTTTTTAACATAGCCGTCAGCAATTTTTCTCATTTTTTTTTAGAAATTTAGATATAATAAAACAGTAGGTACACGGGCGTTAAAAAAAGGCACTGAATTAATTTATGCACCTAATATGTACATACATATGACTTAATGAAACTGTATATTTTATAATATTTTAAATCGAAATAAGCTATTATCTTTCTATTTTATGAGAATAATATAATGTTGTAATAGTTTACTGTTTTTGTTATATTTTTCATTAGTTGATTTATTGCAGATGACAAATAAATTTCCATGGCAGTACATCAAGTCTGGCTACTCTAATACTAGTTCGCCAGGTACCGCGTCCTCAGGAAGTAGCACAAATTCTCAGTGCTATGGCCAATCTCCCGATGATCTCAGTGTTGATTCCCTTATTAACAGTCTATTGCAAGTTGTAAATGGTGATAGTTTTAATAGACCCTCTTCGTCACAATTCTCACATACTGGAAATTCAATTACCGGATGCAAAGACTGCATTGATACAATTTGCGACTCATGTTCTTCGAGCCAACTCTTAGTAAGTATATTTAAATTTAAGAAATGCAATTGTGTGTTGTTCTGAATGTGATTATTGGGTTCATTTGTATTCTACTCGTCGTGAGGATGAAAAGTCTGAAAGGAACCATCGGTCAGAACTGAACGTTTCTCTTGAAAAATGATGTTAATGTTTCATTAATTTTTAACCCTCTGAGTACGGACGTTGTTAATGTTCTTAGGTCCGTTTGAAACCTTATGCTTTCTTCTTTTTAAACATACTTTCGAACGCAATTACTAAAGAACACCTGCTTTTTTTATATGACTAACTATGAACAACTCCTAGCTTAAAGTATATTTACAAATCGATGAGTCCACCAAACCAAAGGTGTAGAGTCCGGCTTAAACAATATATCGGCCTGAATTCCATTTAAATTTTGTAGAAATTGTTATAGCTTGTGCCATAAGAATAATATTCACAAGTTTTATAATTCTGTTCAATATTACAGATTAACAAATTCGTTATTTTTTGTGCAGAATGTCACAGAGTTAAGTCACGAGGATGAACACAATTCTCTGCAAACTATACTCACAGAAATATCGAGTCCACCAATAATCAACGTACCGAGTTTATCATCTGCAACATTGACTTTTTTTTGCGATCTTCATCGTGATGCTCAAAAATTTTATTGTCAAACTTGCAGTAAACCCCTGTGTGGTGAATGTGGGATTCACCATCATCATGGTCATATTACAGTAAATTTTCAGGAATGCAAGCGAATCAAGTTCTTAAAGAGGCCAAACTGGGAATTACAGCTCTCAGAGAAGAACTAGACGCTGTACAAGTAAGGGCATTCTCTATAACACATATTTTTTTAACATTATAAACATAAATATTACAGGGTGTCCCAAAATAGGTATAAGTTCTTGAAAGGGGTGCTTCCTGGAATGATTTGAAACAACTTTTTCCTTAGCGAAAAAGTTTTCCGAGGTTTTGTTAACGAGATATTAACGAAAAACCCCGACCAATCAGAGCGCGAGTCTGCCAGCCGAGTTCCCGCGGCAACGTTGGCTACCAATCGCAGCGTATAGCCAACGTTACCGCGAGAACTCGACCGGCAGACTCACGCTCTGACTGGTTGGGGTTTTTCGTTAATATCTCGTTAACAAAGCCTCAGATAATATTTTAGCTAAGGAATAACTTGTTTCAAATCACCTCAAGAATCTCGCATTTGCGGGTTCTCCAACATTTTTGTTACACCCTGTATAATTCAACTTGTGCACATTAGCATTCTAACAAATATTGAACCCATGAACATTTATGCTTCAGTCATTGACCATGATTCCTACTTCGTTACGTTTTATTTATAATTTAATGACGTATTTGTACAGATAGCAGCTGAAATTTTGGAACAAAAAGCACGACAAGCAACTGCAGATGTGATGCTGTGCATAAGAAGGGTAGCTGCAGCTTTAGAAACAAGAGAGAAAGAGTTATTAGGTAAAATTGAAAAAGCTAGGCTTCTTAAATTTGCTGCTCTGAAAGCAAGGGATGAAGGACTTAGAAATGGAATATCTCGATTATCACGAGCTGCTGACAAACTTAGCGAAGCGATGGAGTCTAAAACCCTTTCTAATAATCCCCTAAACTTGCTGCTTACTAAGGATATGGCTTCAGCTGAGGTACTGATTAATAAATTAATATTTAATACCATCACTAACATTCTTGAATGCATGTTAATTAAAACGTTGTATGCAAGTAGTATTTATATATGCTACGAACATTAAGGGAGTATTCTGGTGTACAGGGACGAAAAAAGCAATTTGTGATTTTTAATGGTTATAAATTACCTTAAAAGTTTAAAAAAGAGCCGATGTGTTCAAATGTTTTACCCCTGTCGACCTCCGACTATATTGTTGATCCAAAATCCTACATACGTAATATTTTAGTATACTGTTTTTATTAATTATAGGTTTTCCAGATCCGGCAGAGTCGACAGTGTCTTCCCTCGCAAGAAGAAAATTGGATTTCTTTCAACGGCTTAGAAGGGACTATACTTAATGCTATAGCAAATCTTGGAGCTGTTGTAGTAAATAATCCTGGGCCTATAGGCGATCGTCGAGCTGTAAGAGGTCGTGGAAATTCGCCGCAAATATTTCTTAGACAGACAGCTTCTATTCCTTCGACTTCAGTACCACGAGGAAGGCCAGTTCCTTCAAACAGTTTCCCAGTTACAGTTAGAATAAACCGTGGTCCTGACTTATCAGTTAAACCAGTGAAAATGATTGGAAACGAGGGCGATTCAAAAGATAATCTTTGTCGACCATGGGGTATAGCATGCGACAGAGAAGGACATGTAGTCGTTGCAGACAGATCGAACAATCGCATTCAGATATATCGACAAGATGGTGTTTTCTTGAGAAGATTTGGTAGTCATGGGACTTCACCAGGACAATTTGATCGGCCGGCTGGCGTAGCGGTCGACGCGCGTCGCCGTATAGTTGTAGCAGATAAGGATAATCATCGTATACAGGTAATGGTAATAAATATTCTGTAGCTTGGTTGATTGTGTCTGGGATCAGTAGAAACTAATATAAAAAGGTCAGGTGAGAAAACACGGCAGAAATTAGTAGGAGTTTCGTTAAATATTATTTTCCGTTAGCTGTGAGAACTATTTTTGACTGAACTAATTGCTGGGAACAACGAAGACGACCAGCTTTTACTCGAACTTGGTCTGATCCAAAGGTAACAGCACTTTCACCCAATTTCACTCGAAAGTTCCATCACTCCATTAAAAGTATCTGTCAATCATGGTCAAAATGATCGAAGCTTGGAACAAAATTAGACGTGTCTTTGGAAGTTCGGGAATGTCGATAAGCCTTTCGGATAAAATTGGTCAAGTCCGTTCGAAACAGCTTGCTGTGGAACTTCAGTTCAATCCTTCTTTACGAATAAGTCGAGCTTCCCCTACTTTGTATCCATTGTCAAAGAAACGAAGACAGTAATAAGGGTATCACTTAAAGCGACACTGTGTGGAAACCATAGTACACATTCAATGTCTCAAAAGCCTAGAACTTTGTTGTCAAAATTAACTTTCATTTTCGAAAATTTTGTTTGACCCCGCTTCGGTCCTAATTATCGTACACTTATCAAACTTTTACTATAAATCAGTTTCTTAACCAAATATCAACTACAGTAGACTCTAACTATATTGCGATGTTCGGGACTATTGGGGAATAAAATGGCAATGAGTTTAGAGTCCCCTCCATGCCAAGTTCTGTCGCCGTGGCCTCGGTCTCAGCGCCTGCGCAAAAGCTGGATCGTGCTGGTGCGCCGGCGTACGCAACATAGTGGGAGAGCGAATTTCTGTATGCGAAAGTACGTGTGAAGGGGAAGTGCCTTATGTGCCAATGCGTTCAGTGGCAATATAGTTAGAGTCTACTGTAATATGGGTTTATGGCACGGTCAGGAATTTTTAGAGTTCATTAGAAATCCCTGAAAAGGAACGTGTCCGTCGGTACACACCTTTTGACGGGATCTGCAAGACTGTCGAAGTATCATAAACCCAAGAACTTCATGGCGGTAACTTCGCGCCGGGAATTAACGGATCCTGGGAACGGCACGCGGAAAGTCGAACCTAAGGGAAGAACTGCCATCGGGCTGTTGCAACTCCTCGCTCAGGGAACCGTGCTAAGGGCGTATGGGAAGGGATCCACAGGCCTAGCGAAACGTTCACACAGTCTTTTGGGGACAGTTAGTTTAAGTTACAACGACTGTCAGTTAGAGTTAGAGTCAGAGATCGCACACATAATCTAGGAAAGACCATCAAAACGCTTAAAGAAATTTAAGAGATTTATTAAAAATGTAACATAAGATCCTTATGATATGTATAAAAAAGAACAAAAAAAATTTTGTTATACAACGGCATGACTGATACGTATTTTCCATTTAAGTTATTTTGCGGTGGAATGTTTTACGTTCACACCGTTGGACCAGAACGAGGAAACAAGAAATTTTGTCATCTACACACTAAATAACTAGAGAAGTACCCAAGACTTCGAAAAATATTAATTTTAAAAAAAATGGCGAATACTTGAAAACAATTCTTTTCTTTTTGTTGAAAAATTTCTTATAATTATGTATTCTTGTTAATTACAAAAAGAACTTTCAATACTTTGCAGAAATCATGGGTATTTGGTGTGTAGATTATAAAATTTTTTGCTTTTTTGTTTGTTTCAGGGCCAACGATATGGACGTGAAACATTTCACGGGATGACTCAAATGGAAAATACGTATAATTTGTAAATTTTGTTTGTTCTTTCTTATTCTTTGTTCCTATAATATCATATAAAAAATAGATCTATTGGATTTAGTATGTATAGTAGGAATTTTTAAATCTGATCACATTATTATCGTGTTAGAACTTGGCAATACACACTACAATGCTCCATATTGTTTTTGCAGGTGTTGACAATGGAAGGCCTATTCCTTCTAAGTTTTGGTGAAAAGGGGTGTAGATGTGGACAATTTAATTACCCGTGGGATGTAGCAGTGAATTCTGAATGCCAGATAGCTGTATCTGACACAAGAAATCATCGTGTCCAATTATTTAGTCCAGAAGGTGTGTTTCTACGGAAGTATGGTTACGAGTCAGCGCCGAATATGTGGAAGCATTTTGACTCTCCGCGTGGAGTGGCGTTTAATCCAGAAGGCAATGTTGTTACCACGGATTTTAACAACCATAGAGTAGTAATTATTGACGCGGATTTCATGCATGCTAGAATCTTCGAATGCGAATGCGCAGGCGGATCGAAACAGTTCCTAAGACCGCAAGGTTTAGTCATTGATGACGAAGGTAATGTTATTATAGCTGATTCTAGAAATCACAGAATACAAGTGTTTGATTCAGCTGGCCTATTGAAGTGGCGATTTGGCAGCTACGGGAAAGGTGAAGACGAAATGGACAGACCGTCGGGCATTGCTTTGTGTCCCGATGGTAGAATCGCAGTTGTAGATTTTGGTAATAATCGAGTTCTTATTATTTAGGTCAGTTGATTGGTTTATGAGAATAAGATTTTATACACGTTGAATATGCAACAGTAATGAAAGAATCACATTACTGTTTTCCTCGATTTTAGAAGTAAGCGTGTGACGCTTAGGCCCACGAATCAAGCGTTAGAGGCAATATTTTCCTACTCATTGTATATAATATGGAAATCCGTACGGGTTCCTTTCGAAGCTTCGGGTTTTCTCACTTTGAGTGCCAAGCAATAAGTACAAAATGAACTCTTTGTTCTGAAGTCATATCGTCGTGAAGATTTCCATGAAAAGAGATTATTTTCGCATTATTCATATGTAGTTATCACATGCCTGTAAATTTGTAATGTGTGCAGGGAAACGAAAAATATGAGCATACTCATGTAGCAAAACGGAGAGTGATTATTTCAGTATTGACTATCTTATAAGATAGCAGTAAATTATAAGAAAGAAATAGAGAAACTTAGTCCACGTCTAGAAATTCTTAAATTGCATTTTATTTATTTTTAATGTTAACACAGTTACCATGTATTTTTATTATTTTATCAGAAGACGATTGCGATTAAAAGGCAAAATATATTGAGATTATTAGATAATAAATGAAATTATTTATGCTAATATTCACATGGAAGTATGCATTAGAATTGAAAATTTGAAAGTAATGCAATAAATGTAACGCGGACAAATTGATGTAAGGGAATAACGATAATTTTTAATAACAACGAGGATACCTTGTTATATTCAAGAAAGAGCTCTATCCTATATTTTTCAATAGAAACATGAAAAGTGAACGTCAATTTAATGAAGATAAAATATAAATTAAAAGTACCGTCACAGTTTACCACGCATACTAACTTTTTTTCATATTTGCTTACATTACTTTACATAGAGGTTCTCTAATGATGGAGCAATTATGTATTTTATATGAAGTTTTTTACCACACAATTAAAGAAGTATAATTTTTCTTCTTGTACATGTACATAAAAAGATAAGTTACCGTTGTGTGACTAAACAACATTTAAAAAAAAAAGGAAGAGTATACAATACTATTGTGACCAGCGTCGTAAAATGCTTAACTATTTGTATAAGTTAATGATATTATTGTCTCCCGTTTATTATACAAGGAGACTAAAATGCAATTTGATGTTAAACATACATATGTATGCATGATCGTTGTAACTAAGAATTTGTTTATGAATGTATGCATTTGAGAGAGAAGGCAAGTTGTGTCTAATATGGAGGAACGTTGTAAACAACAAAAAGATTTAAGAAATCAGGCACAAAAATGCAAACAAAACGAAAAATATATAACAATGTAAAATTCCTCCTATTAATGCAACATTTTAAGGATTTAAAGTAAATTAATGTTCTAGTAATGTGTTAACATATCACAGTTTAAAGATATACTTTCAGTTTGCATTTCTGCAGTTGATTATAATCACATACAAATAAGCAAAACTTATTTTTATGTTTATGATGACGTTCCTTACTACTATTATCATTACTTCCATTGGTTTTGTGATTTTCGTCTTCGTGGTGACGTATAAAGGCCGATTCCCACTAGCCGTCTAACCGGCGGCAGGCTAACCGCCGTCAAAACTTTCTCCAAAGCTTTGTAAATGGCAGTCAGCAGGCGGCTAGCAGGCGGTAAGTGTGAATAACATCATTTAAAAAGCTTTGGAGAAAGTTTTGACGGCGGCTAGATGGCTAGTGGTCATCGGCCTTAAAGCTGCATCCCCATTATGCCGCGCAGCCTGTTGACACGTGCCGATGACATATTCCCAAATGTTCGGTTTTGCCGATCGGCATAATGGGGACGCACCTTAAGAGCGCTAATACCGTCGTTATAATGGTAAAGTTGCGAAACTGCAAAAACATAATATTTCAGTAGATAAGGAGATCACTTTGCATTGATTTTACCATTTATATTTGTTTTTTTCATCTTTTTAAATACTCAGTGAGTACCCAATCAGCACAAACAAATTTTGTCCAATGCCTGTTATAAGCTTTTGTAACCAGAATGGCTACAGATTTTATGCAGGATCTGGTATAAACAGTTTGCTCGCAGTTAGGCGGCAGATCTTTCAGCACAGCTTAGGTTATAAATTGACTTAAGTTAGCTAATGTCGGTTATGCTGCAGGATCTGCCGTAAATCTGCTGTCAATCTGCACGGAAATGGTTATCTGGATGACTAAGTTAAACGAATAATGTGAAACAGCAAATAAAATTGTGCATGTAGCTCAGATTTGGCAAAACTGTAGTTCCGAAACTTTACCATTGAAATGACACTATATCTATCTTTACTACCACCGTGATCATAAATATTATACATTATACATGATATAAGCATTATAAAATTAATTAAGAAATCCATCTGATGGCACTTGTTGTAGGCAACGGATGAGTTTTATACAATGTATAAGCGTTTACTATGTCAGTCTTTTAAAGAAATGCAAATGTTGTCGCGCTAATTTAATTTGACGCTAATGAACTGAAACGGGATATTAGTTACATTCGCACGATATAAGACTGAAATAAGACTGATTTAATACAATAACAGGTTTTGTTCCTTGTTTATTTTTACACAGTAAATAAGAGATTAAACATTTTGTCTGTGAGCTTTTATTTTAATATTGCGTTCCATAAAGCCGTTAAAGAATTATTAAATACATTTAGTACTATAAGAATACTTTTATTGGCCTCCTTTTAAGAAGTATATAAAATTTTATGAATTGACTTTATTTATTTTTTTTTAGTGAACAACATATGTTAATAAACCACTTAGATTAATATAATATTGAATACTCTTATAGTCAGTCAATAGCAGTATTAATTATATGTTTTTTTAACTCACATTCAAACAGGAATTAATCCCAAAAGTTTTACTGCGTAGAAATAACTTTTCAAATATAGTTGTATTTTGTTTGCAAGTACAGTAAAGATTCCCTTAATGTTCGTAAAGATCTATACGCTAAATATTTTTGTTTCTTTCCCACTACAGGGAGGCTTCCCCTGGGAACCAATCAAATGTGTGACGTAACACGACTGAAGCTTCCCTTTAACGAGTCGGTGGCTAAAAGTTGAAAGCTAAACAAGGTTAACAATTTGCGTATCGGTAAGGAGTCAGTAATGCAATTATAAAAGGTTTTCATTATTGGTTCTTTTGTTTTCAACATTTTTATTAAAATATTGGTAAAATTATTTTTTATTAAAATAAGATCAAATATGATATAATTTCGATTATATTTTCTAATTTAATAAGTGTTCATTTGAATCATTTATAATTTAGTAGCAATGATAATGAAAGGAAATTAGTTAACATGGTATAAGCAAAATATAGTCCAAGTTATATCGTATTTTGTATTACCCAGTCCGCTAAACCTGCGAAGCCAAATTGTGACCCATGCCTGTTATAATGTTACGTACCCAACATGGCTACAACTGGTATGCAAGATCTGATATCAACCATTTGCGGGGAGATTGGCAGCAGATTGGCAGCAAGTCTTGCAATATAGCCTAGGTTATAAATTGACTTCGGTTAATTAGCCTGGGTTGTGTTGCAAGATTTATTGTCAATTTGCAGAAACAGATGGCTACGGTTTTTTAGACAAATTTTACCATTATTTGCTGGCAATTTGCTCGAAACTTACATATAATTAGTTACCAGGGTATTGTAATCAGCAAAATTTCACTAATATGATAATATTTTCATTAAGAAAGAACCAAAGAGAAAAAAGCTTAATTGTTGCATGAATGTTATCTCACCAATACGCAAGCTTTTAATACTTGTCGGTTGTTTCAACGCTCAGTTTTATTGTTATTCTTGCATACTTTATTTTTCACACTCTATATCCTTTTATCCGATTGCTACTGTCGGCAAAATACACAGGCGAGTTGCCAAGGCTCGGCCCGAAATTTTTGAAGTGCGAAAATCGTGTCCCTCTACGATAACTGTTCGAAACCGATTCTGGGTTTTAAGGGAGTCTTTACTGTATATGTTTCATGTACAGATGAAATTACTAAATATTCTACTTAACCCTTTCGGTGTGGCAATACTTTTGTTCTACCGTTTATGGCACTACTTACATACTACTTATCATCGACGAGGTATTAGTATAGACCTTTTATCGTATGGGAGTTGTTGGCTATATGGTGTGTACACGTCAACAGCGCTCGTAGCGGCCAATTCATGGAACGTGTATACAAGCTCATAGCACCTAAAGGGTTAATGGCACGTTATGTATAGCAATTGAGTTTCAAACTACTGAAAAAGTTTCTGCGCAGAAAAATCCAAAAACTAATTTATTCGTGTTATATGTAAAGTTATGGCGTGTGGCAATAATATTGACCATAGCATAAAACAATTTTATGAAGAAAAATGTGTGCTTACCAAATATATTTGTTATGCTGTGTTAAGAAAGAAATCCTAAGTTAGATATAAACAAATGCATCCAGCTCAAGTATTATTATGAAAGATGTGATATTCAAGGTGTCCCCAGATAAGTGAAAATAGTAAGAGATACAATGTACATAGATGGAAACATAAGACAGTTTAGTTTTATCAGTTTTATGGAATATCTGAAAATAATATGGAACATATTCTCTCAATTTTGAAACACATTATTAAGATACTATATTTTTAGTTTTCTTATACTAAAATTGTACTATTAAGAACTGCAGTTAGCAACATTACTTGGGTAATTTGTTCAAAGTCGGCATCAAATAATATAAAATTATAGAAACACCATATACTATGTACATACTTTGTGTTTTTATACTTTTTCTCATTTCCTTGTATATTTTACTATTCAATAGGTATTGTATGTATTACTTGTCTAGAGGACACCCTGTATATGCTTTTAATAGGCCAGTCAGTACTACATAGATTGCATATAAATATTTCCAGTAGATGTATGGCGAGAAGGTTATTAGCTTAATATGAGAACAGACCAGGGAATAGATATCAAGTGTTGCACGTCCATTTTCAGAAACTCATACACGAATTTACTGCTGTGTAAAATATTGGATTAGTACAAAATTCTGTTGTAGATTATTGTGTACAACAGAACCGATGCTATAATACTATAATGAATTCAATATTACGAGCACATTGTACTATATACGCATGTATAAAATGTATAATGTATAGCTGACACATACATGTACTACATACCGTACAAGACTTACATCCAAATATTCTGTAAAATACATTGTACCCCGGAAATGAAATATTCTTCTCAGAGAAATAAATTGATTCTTGCTATTTGTTGTGACTTTGTTTTTTTATTAACCTTTTTATCTAGAGACCCAGTCAGCGAAACCTGCAAAGCTCAATTTTGTCCAATACCTGTTATAATGTTACGTACTCAACATGGCTACAAGTTTGATGCAAGATCTGCTATCAACAACTTGCACGGAGATTGGTAGCAGATCAACAGCAAGTCTTGCAATATAGTCTAGGTTATA